ACAACTAAGAGTTGAGAAGCAGGGCTGTTTGTAGCTGGAGAGAAATAGAGGTGTGACAATAATTTTAATCTAGAAAAAAAAATCTGAAAAGAGGCCTAGAAATCACTTTATGAGGTGTGCAATGTTAAAAGCAGTCATCCATGCCAGAAGTCTTTATTGACATCTTCTGGTCACCCACAGCCTGGATGACATTTGCGTCGAAGCCTTATATGCAAATTGTGGTCGTTTTCTTTTTAAATGGCCGCCAAATATATTGAAATGTACATGTAATCTGACATTTAAAGTTAACAATGTGCAAACAAGGTTATGGACGAGGAGATAAAATTGTGAAAGTCACACCTCCGATATAAATCCCGTTCATATGAAAACTAACTAAAATATGCAAAATAGGAATAAAATTATAGGGTTCGCTAACTTCGTAACCAGTGGTCACATAAACTTGATTTTTACTTTAAATGGTTCAGAATAATAATGCATGTCTCTATTAGTATTAATTCAACATTTTCTTCCAAATTTTCTTCAAAATATTAGATTTGACCTGTGGCCCTTTGCTTTGCAGAAAATGTCCTTGTCTCCACAACTACTGTTTTTGAGAATTCATTTTGGTGTCAAATTGGTTGGATGCATGTTTCTGTTTACCGCAAACCAAGGTAATAAAACACGGAGATAAAATCCTGAAAATCGCAACTCCGTCCGTTCATGTCCCGTTAAAATGCATATTAGCTTAAATATTCAAATTTGGAGGAAATATGTAGAATTCTGTATCTTTGCAACCGCAGGACGCTGAAAATTGATATCTTTTTCAAATTGTTAAAATCATGCATGTTTCTATTTGGTCTAATATAACATTTTACTTTAAGAATGACAAACAACACCACATTTAGCATATGCCCGTATATGTTACAGGGTTTCATGCTTCATGACTGTTGTCCATACGGACTTGGTTTTGGTCTCAAAAAAAGTATCGGCCTAATAATTTTAATACATGTTTCAATTCACTGTAATGAATAATTTTGAAACAACAAGTGTCACCTGAGTTTCACCTTTGACCCATCAAGTCACGTTGTATTTCTATATAAGTCCATAATAACTGAACATGGAAAATTCATAATTGTATCAAAATAGTTGTTTAGATTGTAATATACAGTATTTCTATCTAATGAAGAAAAAAGAAAGAAAGATACCAGTACCCCTCCCTTCCCAATGTCCACACTCTCAATTTTTATTTGGGAAATATGTGATGTACCCACATGTAGACGTGGTTATGACCTATCACGCCAACATCCAAATTATAATAAAATAAAAATAAAAAAATAAATAAAGAAATGAAGAAAAAAATGAATGAATGAAAAAAATATAAGAAAAAGAATAGAAAAGAAGATAAATGGTTAATGGTTTGAATTTATAAAATTGATATGGAATACGACACGTGAAAGAAAGGTAAAATTGGAACTACTGTTTAGAAAAAAATATTAATATTTATGTAATCCTCTATAAACTATACTAACTTATAAAACATCATCAGTGGCAAGTAAGTGAAGTAAGAAAAAGTCAGATAGTATATGGCCAATTTCACAGTAAATAATGGAAACGCCCCATACAATATTTGTTAACAAGATGTAACTACAGATCCTGTGGTATAGCCAAAGACTTTATTGTTTTAAATGAAATATTTTTACATGTATATAATAATATATATGAATTTATACATATAAACATTTAAATGTCATACAATTTGCATTAAAAAAAATAATGATAAATTTACGTACTTTCAGCCATAGTTCACCATTCAAAAGAGTGACATGACAATAATG